AAAAGACAATATTGGAGAGATAAATACATTTATGTGACGACCAGTGGAAGGACATTAAGTGTTCCTCCATATTTAAACCAAAAAGTAAGTTTCTATGGTTTATTTGAGTTTATATTACAAGCCTGATGCATTCTTGTTTTGATAGAATATGAAAAATCTCAGATATATAAATAAACACTTATTTGAAACTGGTTATACTGCAAAGATTAATAAGCTATGTGAAAATTTTCTATATAAAATTAAATTTTCAGTACAGTATTTGTATTTCATTTTTTCAAATATTTAAATTAATGTATCCATTCACATTTTGATTTCAGATTAAACAAACTGACTATTCAAGATATTTAAGAATTTCATATTCACAGATAACTTGTTTAGGAAATTGGCAAATGTATATTACTTGTCAAAAGATTATAAGTTGATAAAACATTAGAAATTTTCAAAATTCACCTGAAATAATTGTTTTTTTTATAGAATTTAAAAAAAAATTAACTTTTATTAACCAGCTTCCATTGACAAAAGATATAACAAAACATCCAAATGCATTCTTTTGTTCAAAATTTGAATTTTATATAAATATAATTTATGTAGCTGATGGATATAATGATTGTTTTTCAAATGAAGATGAACAACAAAATGAAGGAAATAATTCAATCAAGTTTTTTCATTGTTTTACATCAAATGAAACAATCTCTCTCCTAAAAGTTTGTAACTTCTACTATGATTGTCATGACAAATCTGATGAATTGCATTGTGGTATTAAGAGGCCAGAATTTGGTCTTAGTACACAATCAATATGTTCTATTTATGTGGATTTTTTTCTTTACAACAGAATATAAGAAATGCAAAATGGGAAAAAGGTAAGAAAAAATTGGGGTAATGGGAGAAAATGTTGCAAGGAGATATCTCAAACTCCAACCAATTAAACTTCTCCTATTCTTCATTCTGTGCACTTGATAAATGATTGAGCAAGATCTCTTCACCTCTTAGAAGTTGCAATAATAAACAATGTATTCCTGAAAAATATGTTTGTAATAATAAAAAAAATTGTCTGGATGAGAGTGATGAAATCTGCAATAGTTTATATTCAATATCTGAAAATTTTACTGAAAGTAAAACAGGAAACCAGTTTAAATTAACTTGAATAATTTTCAAATTCTATTTTATATAATTTTATTATCCAGCTTGTAACAAAGATACACAATTGCAATGCAATGAATTTTGTATACCAGATTTCTTGATCAATGATGGAAAAACAGATTGCGAGAGTGAAGATGAAATAAATTCAACTAAAGTAGCAGAAAACTCAGCTGGCTGCTTCTATAAACAAAGCTCTATGGGGATTTCAATAACAAATCTATTTGAAGAAAGAGAGAAATGTTCAACAATTACATGCAATGTTGGTGAATATTTATGCCATACAAAAGATTTTTGTATATCAATTAAACAAGTTTGCGATGGAATTCACCATTGTTACTTGGGAGATGATGAAACTGAATGTGGTAGGAAATGAATAATAGTTTACTGGAACCAGTCTATTAATTTTAATAATTTACTTTCAAAGATAACTTTATCCCAAGAGGTTATTTTAAATGTTCAAATGACACAATTTATATAAAACTTGAACATCTTTGTAATGGAGAAATTGACTGCCTAAGTGGAAGTGATGAATTAAATTGTGACTTACCAAATTCTATTAATGGAGATGTGAATAGAAATTGCAAACAAATAGGATATTTTCAGTTAGAATGTAATTCTGAAAATAATTTAAATATGGAGAATAATATTTCAATTGAATATTTTACTGAAATAAAACTGAATGGAATGATTCCATCAAATTTTCATAAAATGCAAATTTCAAATACCCTCAAATATTTACATATTGAAAATGCATCACATTTAAATATTTCAGTGTCAAAATTCTTTCCAAATTTAGTATATTTATTTATAAAAAATACAAATATAGAAACTAATAGAGTTCTTATATCACAATTAAATTTATTACAAAATCTAACAATATCAAACACAATGATAAATTCATTATCATTTTTTATTCAGTTAAATTGTACAACTTTGAAATATTTAGATTTTTCATCAACAAAAGTCTCCAAATTGTCATATACAGTTTTTAAAGCTTTAACTCATCTACAAGTATTAAAATTTGACAATTGCCCTATAAAAACAACTGAAAATCAACCATTTCAATCATTAAATCATTTGAAATTTCTATCAATGAAGAATACTTTTTTCAAAATGAAAATGTTCATTCAGTTAACTAAAAGTTTAAAAAATACCCAAACAATTCATGTTGACTATTTTAAATACTGTTGTTATGTTTGGAAAATGTTGAGTAGTAATGCAGTATGTGAATTTGAATTTAATATTTCAAAACATTGTAAAAATATTTTAAATTTAAATTTTATTATTATTACATTTTGGGGTTTTGGTATTTTTGGTGTTATTTTTAGTTTTTATTCAATCTATCTATTTTTAAAATCAGAGAAGTCTTTTAAACATCATAATGTCTTATTGAGCATTGTCTCATTATCACTTTCCATATATTTTTTGTCAATTTCTGGTATCAACCAACATTATAGGGGAGTTTACATCGAATCAGAGGACATTTGGAAAAATAGCAATTTTTGTCATTGTCTTAGACTACTAGTGATGTGGTCATTTTATATTTCATCCTTAACTATACTCTTCATAACTATAGATAGACACTCAACTATTTGTAGCATTAATAATGAGACATTTTTTAAAAAGAATATCAAACTCATTGTTGGTTTTACCATTTGTTTTTCAATGTTATTGTCAAGTTTTTCATATTTACTAGATTTGGTAGATAGTGCCTACATACTTACTCATCCAGCCATGTATTTCTCATCCTTTGTTTTTTATAGACAAACCAACACAAATCACCAATCTGTACTTTTATTGCAACCAGAAATGTCAATTCAAAAATCAAGATATTCTTTATACTTTCCTTTTGTGTCTTTGACCCCATAATAACAATAATAATTTCACTTTTATATTTAAAAATCATATTTTATGTAAAATATTTATCCAAGGAAACTTCTAGTGACATCAGCTTTTCTAGTAAATCATCCAAGGTCTATTCAAAAGTTTTTATAATCATTCTTGTTAATGTACTTAGTTCAATTCCTTTAGCAATTTTTGGTTTGACACCCTATTCAATTTTATTTCATATTATGTAATACACTAATATTTTTGTCACACAATAGGCCTTCTTATACTCTTTAATGAATTTGAAAGCAGCACAGATGCTGATACAATAATACCAATATTTATATATTTGAAATTGCAACTGAACCTGATCATTTTTTCAATTGATGAAATTTTCTTATCACTTCAAAGGAAAAAGGAGAAAATCTTGCAAGAAAGGCTACAATTTAAGAAAAATATTGGAGAAATGTGGTGCAATAAATGTAAGTGTAACCCATTTTTTGTATACAACAATTTTAAATTTCTAAAACCTTGGATTCAAAAGTCACGGAGCTTCTTCAAAGAGCTGACAATCACTTTTTGTATCTTGTTCATGGAGGAGAAAAATTAGGGGATGATACTAAGTCAATTGTTTGCCAAACATTTTACAAGAATGTCAAATATTTTAAATGTAGTTTAAAAGTTATAATTGCCATAAAATACCTCCATGATAAACAGCTATCATTAAAAAACTCTCCAAATTTGGATTCAATAGTTTATGAGGTATGTAAATATATTGATAATGATAACACCTGGTTAATCTCTCTCTCTCTCTCTCTTTCTATAGAAAAGAAGGGACTCTTATTTCCTTTGTGTCAATGATCTTTGTGTAAAAACACCACAAAGTGAATTAAAGGATATTTTTAATTTTGGTATTATTATTAGAAAAATTCTGCAAAAAAGAAATCATTTTTTCTAATAAGATTGTTCTCTGTTGTATTGAAATGCATATCTTAAGTAGTTTTGTTTAATACAACACTCAGTAGTTAAAACATCTGCTTTCCTTGTCAATTCTTTTACCAAAATGTTAAAATTTCTACTTGCCTTTTAAAATTTAATCAATCAATCAATCTTGAAGGTCAATTAACAGTAAAGTAAGCAAACAATGTTCTTCATTCAAGAATTGATTAAAAAGAAATGACAAATGGGATGGTGAAAAAACTGACAGAAGAACAGCAAAAGATATTAACATTAAGTTTAAAGATAATATTGAAGATTTGCCAGAATTAGAATCACCAGACATTCTTTTCACAACCACTTTTTAAAACATTCATCAAACAAAAACTAAGTTTCTTAATGTTTGTATTAGAGCTATAAAAATCAGTTTATCAGTACTTTGGGTATGCTGATTGCAAATCTGTTTACAGGATTCAATTATCTATTGTGGTTCAAAAGTTAAGGCATCTTGAATTGTTAACACCATATATATAGGCTGAAGAAGAGAATTCCCTATTGGAACCCTTACTAACCTAATCCTGAATGTGGGAAGGAACATTGTCAATTATTACCAGAACATAACCTAATGTAACAATTAATATATACCTGAAAAAGGTACTTTTCCATCGATTACTCTTCAAGATTGTAATCACTGATATAAGATTAAATGGAATTCCATAAACAATGCCAACTGAAGGGTAAAGTATCTACTGATTTGTAATTAGGAGGCGTGCCATCTAAGGGTTAGGGGTAACTAGAAAGGATAGTGAGAGACAAGGGCTAGATGTCTATCTACTGTCCTCTACTTAAGTAGAGGATTTCTTTGCAACAACATAACTTGAAATGTTTAACACTTTTTGCAGTGTCATTTAACAACTTACAATGATCAGTTTAATTTACATTTAAATTAAATGAAAAAAATGTTTCTTATTTGATGGTCACGTGACAGTTGCCCAGTGCCAAATACCATTGTATTAATTTATTTTCATTTTTTTCCAATTAATGCAAGGGATATTTTGTGCAGAAGGAAGGGGAAATTAGTTATTTTTCTTATTCAATCAGACATTAACAATAACAAAAAAATCTCTATTTAAAGACTGTAGTTTTGATTGAAAAGTGATTAAATGAATGTGAAAACAAATATTTGGTTGACAATAACACTGAAAAACACAAGAATCCATCATATCAATTTCAGAGTAGTAACCATCAGTAGTATTCAACAGCCTGCATTCTTCAACATTATTCTGTGAAGATGTATATGTTTTTGCTGCCTCATTAAAGCAAGATTCTAAAAGTGATACACCTTTTAATTCAACAATAATACTCTTTGTTTTGAATTTGGCAATACCAATTGTATGAGAAGTTTTCAAGGAACAAATCCTATTATCATGAGTAGTATAATGTTGACTTGTAGAGTTTACAGTATTAATTACCCAATAAACAGAAATTGTATCTTGTGAAGAAGAACCAAATACTTCAACTTCACAGATGGAGAGAATGTTTGATGCTAGTTCAACATATTTATACAATGCAACATATTGGCCAATTGTGGATTTTTTACATCTTCTAGTGATGTAAGATGAAGCTGTTTCAATTTTATTGCAAAGTTTCTCTGGTATCCAAGGAGGATCAGTATTATTGCTTGATACAAGTATTTTTACAAAATTTAGACGGGCTACAAAATTTGCCCTGCTAACAATAGATACAGCATATATCTCACTTTCACTTTCCAAATTAATCATCCACCAACTAGGAAATACTTTCCTCGTTTCGCCACAGTTCACTGTCCTTCCAGAACTACTTTGACCATCATTGATAGCTATTAATCTATAGCCAGCTTTACCAGTAAAGTCAACTTTATTTCTATCAAGATCTCTCATAGTCCAAATTTCAATTTCACATATAGAAAGACTACCATAATGTAATCTTTTCTCAACAGCAACTGATTTTGCATATTGTGGACCTTTTAAACAATCAATTGTTGCAGATTGTTTAATTGGTATTAAAATCTCAACAAAACCACAAAGTGTATATTGATCAAAATCTAGTGAATCAAAGACAGTAGTCAAAAGAGCTAGATGTCTCATACTAAAATTATTATCAGAGTTAAGAATTCTAATTGACCTAATAAAATATTTTTTAGAAAATGATACCAACAACCATTCATTCACTGCTGCATCAGTATTTGACTTGAAACAATTGTCTACATCAAAATTTCCATTTACTGCTGTATTACTTTCAGTTCCATTTGCACTTGAAGCATGTGTAGTTTGTTCCATAGCAATATTAACATGTTTATTATCACCATTTATACAGAGAATGGAAGCAATTTTAATGCAATATATAATCCAAGATAGGGTTTTATCCTTCTTGAGCATGTTTTTCCTCTCCTGCTGTAAACTTTCTAAATGTCCGAAATGTGGATAAATATACAAATTGGTGTTTAATTATTCATACATTTGCTAGAAAGCTTTACAATAAAAAGTTCATATTATTTAAAGAAAATGTTTCATACACTAATTGCTCATTAAGTGAGCACTTAACACTTCAAAGTAAATCACTTTACTAATATAAATTATTCAAATTTATAATATACAAAGTTTTCTATACTTCATTTGTAAGCAGTTTATTGGATAAAGAATATGACAAGGATCTAAAGCTAAAGAAGATAGACAAGAATATAAAATACTATTGACCAATTTCTTAATAATCTATACAGTGACATTTGTTGTACTTTTGAGATTGTCATACACACAGGATAAAATTTTATAGAAGTTATTTTCTCCTTGATCTATGAGCATTGCTATGCATTTTAGTTCATTGGATGTCATATTAAATAGAATATAAATACCTCAAACTGGGGCCGACAGAAAACGTCCCCAAATGAGATTTTTGAAAGCAACATTTCGGATTGAAAAATGGTTAGGAGGGGTAAAGTAGCTTTTGATTTATAGTTAGGGGGGTTCCATCTAAGGGTTAGGAGCAATCAAAAAGGTTAAGGAGAGACAAGGGCTAGGTTAGGGTTAGGGTTAAATCATGAATTTGGGGATGTTTTCTGTCATATCCCCTCAAACTTATTACTTGTTACCTTTATTTATAAAACAATTTTTTTAGGTTAAACAAATAGACATAACGTTTGGCTTAAATGCCTTAAACTAGGCTGAAATATCCTGGCCACACATTGAGCAATTGCTTTCAAACACACCTTCTCACATAATGAAATTTTCTTCTCTTGTATGATAAAACCATGTATTTTTCATGCTGTACAATTGAATTGCTTCTCTTTTTGTGATTCTAGTCCTACATCAGACAGATATTAATTGCTATCATTTATTCATTTTGCACTGGCCTCAATAAAAAGAAACAAAGAGAAATTTATTAATTAATAACTCAATGAGTGTTTTTTGATTGCAATAATTAAGACTAATTATATTTATTGTTTGTGGAAATGTTCATTTATATCAGTAGAATAGTATTCTATTATTTTAATGTCCAAAATATTTGATAAGTGAAATCAGCTCTGTTTCTTTTCAAGTATCAAAAAGTTTTCTAGTTTATTATCTCCCTAAAAAATATATCTAGTATGTTTTTAATGAGAAAAGCAAAAAATTTTCCCATTGCTTTATCTTCTAATTTTTTATGACTGCATTTCAAATATTTTGAACATTTTGTCCAGGGTATGTTTTAACCAGATCCCATTCTTTTATTATTATCAATTGTTTTGGAAAATTGTTTTAAATAGGTGAAAATAAAAGGAAAGAGTCCCACAATGTTTGTTATGTTGGCTTTTAGGATTTCAAGATCAACTGAAATCAGTTAACCCTTCTTATTTATTTTTTAACTCTTTCTAAACCATTCAAATACTATTTAAATTTTTTTTGAAAAGACATTCACAAGTATTTTGGAGATGCTGTACAAAAGTTTCATAATAAAAAAACCCCCTCAAAATGGATATTTAAAAAAACTACATGTATGTCATTCAAGAAAGTTTATATGAATTAAATGAAAATTTTGAATATTTTTTTTTTATGGGTGATACCTTTCTATACTTGAGCTATTCTCCAAGAGAAGAAGACCAAAATTTTAATAATGAATATTCGCAAAATACATTAGTATCAAAAGTTCTTTGTAAAAAATATTCAAACACTTGTTTATCATTGATTGTTGAAAAGGATTTTCATTCAACTTTTCAAGTAAAAAAAAAATACTATTATTTTTAAAATTTACATTTTTTTAGGTTAATTTCAGAGACTTGGCCAATAATGAAATAACCAATGCAATCACATATGATCTTTTAGCTTATACTAATCGTGTCAGGAACTGTGAATTTTTTATTGAAAATGCTACCAATTATCAAGTAAATTCTTGCTATTGTATTTTGTATTATGAACTTTGGAAGTATGTATTCTCATATGCACTCAATAAATCTTGAGTTCACTTGATCAAGATGTAACAATTTCATATTTCATATGTAACATTTTTGGCATGCATCTTTTCAATGTTCTTGTTGCCCATTGCTGAATTAATTGTGGCTCCATCTATTGTGATGCAATATTCTATTTATAAACAATTAACAATTTATAAATTTATTTTTTCTAAAAGATTTTATTCAAATCAGTCAAAGAAGGAAATTTTCAAATATATTCTCTTTATAGTCAAAATTGTCAAGTTTTTTCAAGTCTGTGAATTTCTATTTTAAATTAGAAAGTTTTCCTTTATCTAACAAAAATTTTCTACCTTTAAAGAAAAACAAGGAATTTCTTGTTCATTCAAAAAGGGTCTTTGTGGTTATAAGTTATTACAAGAAGACAAACCAAAGGGGTATTAAACATTATCATTATGTCTATTCTTGTATAGTGTAACAATTTAAATTGAATTTTCAGAAAAACTATTAATGTTGGGAATATCTTTAAAAGAGATTTTATTTCAAGAATTAGGGTTAGGGTTAAATTTTATTTTTATACTTAGTTTATTTTGGAATTCAAACACAGACAAGATGATATTGTAAATTTAAAAATATCATCAATTCAAAATTCAAATAGAAAGGTTTTAATAATGAAAAGAAACTGTAATATTTTTGTATTTTATAGATGAAATTCAAAATTTATCTTGCTTCTTTCATCATAAAATAACCAACTGAAATAATAATTGTAATACTGTTATTATAATTAAAATGATGGAAACAATTTGAAATAAAACAAAACATTCAAGAAAAACAGTCTAATAACTGATTTTAAAAGTGATAAATGTTTTATTATTTCAATGACCAAAGGCCACTTTCTCCCTTTTATGTGTGTATTTATCAAATCAAGATATTCAAATACATTTAGGTGACTAATTTTTTTTCTTATCATTTAATAGACTTTTTTTACTACTTTACATATTCTCACAGACCTTTAAAATATGGATGTAAACGTTTTGGAATTAGTAATGATGTTGAACAGGTAACCAGTTTTTAAAATAAACAATAAATCAAAAACATTTCAATATTTTTAGATCAAAATAAGTTTTGTTAATGAAAACAGAAGATTCATTTTGGGCGATACTAGATTAATAATTAAAGGTTTTGAATTAAGCAATCATCATTGTCACAAGTTGCATCATAAGAAATGTGATAATGAAGTATGCTTTTCTTATTTTAATAACACAAAATGGACAAGCAACATTTGGAAAATTGAAAAATTCCAATATTTAACAAATATGACATGTATAAAAAATATTTGCTGTTCTAACCATAGTTTTATTGTTGTTTTACAATCTTTTAAGGCAAACAAGGAATATTATTTGAATCAACAAAACCAATTGTAAATGTAATTGGTCATTTATCAACAAGCATGATTCATCCACCACATATGAAATGCCTAGTAGTTGTAAAGTATACTTTGTGTGGACATTGCAAAGAAATTTCAGTAAGAATTAAATATTTTCAAACTTTTCTAAAATATTTTCATTTTAAAATCTTTTTTTTATCTTCTCTTTTTAAGATTTTTATTAAAACTATTGATGGAAGAATAGTTAATCCACTTTCAACAAGGAAAAAGGGACAATGTTAAATTAACAGAATGCTCTATCACTAAATTAAAATTAGACAAGTATTCTAAAAAATTGGAAATATGTAATTTTATGTTTTATATTTATTGTTGAAAATTTTTTAAAAAATTAACTATTTGAAATGCTTTTTCCAATTTACTCTATACTTAACCCTCTTTACATCTACAAGAGGAGATCCTCACCTTGAACAAAAATGTTTGATCTATTTAAGATTATTGTAATAAGATATGGGCAATATTGTACACATTTAGGCTGTTAGCATATACTGTACTGAACTACAGCATACACTATTATTTACATAATTTGAAAGTCAGTTGTAAAATACATTTACAACTGAAATATTAGGCCTAATTATTATACACATAATATGCAATGAACATTAGTTGTGTGCTATTTTACGGGACCGGTCGAAAACGGCCATAAATGAAATATTTGAAAGTTAGATTTCAGCCCGGGAAATGGTTAGGAGGAATAAGATAACTGTTGATATGTTCTTAGGAGGGTCCCATCTAAGGGTTAGGGGTATTCAAAAAGGTTAGGCAAAAACAAGGCCTGGGTTAGGGTTAGGGTAAAACCATACATTTATGGCCGTTTTCTACAACATCCCTATTTTACTTACATTTGGAGTTTATAGATTATTGTCACTTTCAACAATATTGTATGCACAATACTGTTTTGCATGATTAAGTGTATTTAGTTTTACCCTATCACTCTTTTATACTAGAACATATTATTTTACACAAACAATTATTATTAATAATTCGTGGTATATTAAAACAGCAGTAAAGTTGACCTTTGTCTATTTTTGTGTTTTGGAATCAATCCAACTCAGACTAAAATTGTTACATCTTATACAACTTTCTAACCTACTAAAAATAGGGAGCAGCAGTTCTTCAAGATAAAGAAAAAGTAACAAATATAATGTGAGCCTAAACTGCCTAACCTTAACACATATTCATTCTTTGTCTCTGATATACATTCACACTGACATTGAACAACTTTTGTTCTATTTTATTCGTATACTATACTATTATCTATAACTTACTACAAACCTACACAATGAAAGTTACAGTTTTAAACATTAAATACAATAACATGTGGCCTAATACAGACCTTGGTTGGTCATACTTAAGGTTTGTCCTTAAGTGCCACTTAAATTTTGCCCAAGATATGATTGATGAACTTGTCTAAGGTTTGGGCCAAACTATGATTAATTATCTTTCTCAAGTGTGCAACTTTGTAACATATTGTTCTTAGAACAAACATGAACTAGGTTAGTTCATAGTTGTAAAGTGGTGATTGGACAGTAGAGAAAAGTCTACAATTATATAAAGCTATATTCAGTACTCATAAACACTGTGTCCAATAAAATATTGAAATACTTTTTAGTTTGACAGAGTTG